AGGACCTGAGCACAAGAGCACTTACGATAACCAGCAGTTGTCATTCTGAGGCACCTGGATAAGGATAATTAATAGGCATAATAATATATTAGGATAATTAATAGGCATGGAGTGGATAAGAGAAGAGGACGGTTCCTGTTTCACACAGAGCCCTTTATAAAGGTGGGTTTCTGAGCTCCATACTGACAAATTCCATTAGGCAGTTAAAGAGGACATCCGTGTGCTTTGCACTGCCAAACACCCCACCAGAAGTCCTTGAAAGATTGTGGTAAGTCCTACCACCCTCCCCTATTTTAAAACAAGCTTGATTGAATCTCATATATAATTGTGTGAAACAGCAACATTCTACATGTAATAAAAACATTATAATCATATTATGCTTAATGTTGTATTACATAAAAAACTATTTGTTTCATCCATATTCAGATGATATTTATATTTCATAAATTCAATAAGTGGACTCCACTTATCTTTAATATTTTCTCTTTGTGGTCTGCCTTCTTTCATCACGGCGACCTTCCAAATGTTTGTTAATTGCTATTCCACTGTTGGTGATCATCTGTTTTTCCATTTTTGCACAAAAAGTATGCAAGTTACTATTCCATTAATTCCTACAGCTTATTTGTGGGTCTGAATACCTTATAAAAATTGTCAGGGGTCCAGTGGCAAAGTGTAATGTGCTATGAATGACATTATCTCTGCTACCTCTCTCCAAAATAATTGTATTATTGGACAGATCCGCAAGCAAATATATTTCATGTACACATCTCCAACACTTTCCATCACAAACTGTTTAAATTTTCCTCAGTCTATGTGGAGACACATACCATTTCAGTTTGCAATGAGCCTTGCTGGTTCCAGAAATTGGTCTGCCTGCTATTTTTTCCCATTTTTAAACAAACCTATCCACCCAAGTCAGAAAAAAACCCAGAGCTCAGTGCTAGAGCACATCCTTAATCTGCAGAAAGTCCCACACTCAAGAATTCAAATCTCCAGTAAAAAGGATCAAACAGCAGATGATAGGAAATGAGTTTCTCTTCCAAAAACCCTGGAGAGCCATGGCATCTCAGAAGGGACAATACTGTGATAGGTAGAGTTGGTCTCATGAGCCTTTCTGAGGCACTCTGGGAGGAGCAACAGATTCATACTTAGCGACCTTCACCTGCAAATGTTTATTCAGTAGAAGCTGGTCCATTAAGACGAAGCTCACTTTGCCCTCAGCCACCTTCCAGCCTTCTTACACCCAGTTAGGAGATGTCTATTCCTGTATTTATCTCTGAACCCCACCTGCTGCTAGTTTCCCTTCCGTCCTTCCCACCAATCCCAATGAGCACCAGCAACCACTGGTTTTATTACTTGCTTCAAGAGTAAGTCTTCGTTACTGTCCATTCCTTAGTTCTACTAGGAAATGGCATGCATCATTCCTGCACCATGTCAATGCTTTTACAGCTTAAAAGGGGGGAATGGGCAACACCAGTTGGGCAGCCCTGATTCCATCACCTCGAAAGTATCTTGGCATGTTAGAAACTCCCATGAATTCCCCTTGGGAAGTTGTTACATGCTGATTCTCTGAATATTTGTGCAGATCCTTCAGCCCAGAAAATCTGTTTCATCGACGAGGGACATCTTGCATGAGGCTTGGACTGCGTGCATCCTTCACCATGAAGCCTCTCCTGGGACTCC